GTATTAGTTGTCAAGCACTCTGCGAATTTTTCTTTTCTCTATCTGGACAAAGACATATTTTAATCTATAATAATAAAAGTAGTCAAATGAAACAGCGTCTATGAGAGAATACACCCACCGACAACTCATTAGCAAGCTCTAAATAAGACAACATACAATAGCGGGGCACAAGACCCGTAATCTACGAAATTTCAACTATGTCTAAGTGTAGAAATATATCTGAGCTCACAGTTGATAGGGGGTGTACATTTGAAGACTGAACAATCAAATACCCAATGAACAGAGAAGTGAGTTGTCTATTTCAAGACAATACAGAACAATACATGTTCCTAGGTATAAATCCACAAAAGGAACTTTAAAACGAGAAAACCTATAAAAGTGCAAACTTCTTTATGAACCAGAGCAGAGATGTTTGACAACAAAGGCTGAAAGGAATATGTGACGATACAATAGCAAAAGAAGAAGAGAAGAGCTAACAATGCTTAATGCACAAAAGAACATACTCAATCCCTGAACTAGCAGACAAAACATAATGTTGACAATAAAATGTCAAGTGGAAGTGACAGAAGAGCTGAAACGAATAATTCTAAAAAGACTCAATAAATACATTTATATTAACCAAATACCAAGTCTTAAGGAAACATTAGAGAACAAAAGCAGATAAGAACTCAAACACATTCTTAATAGTGTTCTGATATTACAAACTAACAAGAAACTTAAACAAGGAAAAGTGACGTTGGACATACACATACCATTGCAAAATATTACAATCTTTACAAGAAAACCTTACACAGGAAAAGTGACGTTGGACATAACACATTCTATATCTGATATTACAAACTTACAAGAAAACCTTAAACAGGAAAAGTGGCCGTTGGACATACACATTCTCAATATCTGATATTACAAACTTACAAGAACCTTAAACAAGGAAAAGTGACGTTGGACATACACATACCATAGCAAATATTAAAACTTACAAGAAACCTTAAACAGGAAAAAGTGACTTTGGGACATACACATACATCTTCTGACATAAACAAGACCTTAAACGTTAGCCTTGAAATAAAGCAGATAAACTAATGTCAATGAATATACCAAAGTTTGATAGGAACAAAAAATAATTGAAACTAATTGTTTGGTGACTTTTCTGTCAATGAGAAAAATAATATCTTTTAGATGGCAGTTTGGTACAGTCCTTAAAAAATGGTACACGGTCTAAACTCATTCCGAAAATAACAATGAAATGTATGTAAGCTAATAAAAAGAATGGATGGTACACCAGTTTTAAAGTTCCATTAGACACACAAACTGCTATTTTTCATTAAACTTATATGGAGACAAACAAATAAATATTTAAAGAGTTTATGAAATGGTGGATACTGATATTACTTTGACCCTAGCTCCGGCATCACATTATTATGACTATGAAATGACGACAGAACACCACATGTGATGAACCAAAGCTACATTTATAAAATTTAGATTATTATAGATATAAAAGATATAATGCAATAATGAAAAAACGAGAATAGTAAATATTATTAATAACAGATGACAGAAATAAATAATTATAGTCAAGATTTTACCTACCCTGAAAACCATAAGATTATACATTATAAAAACTATTACTGGAACAAACCAGAAAAGAACCTGAAATAGTTGCAGCTAATATTTTTAAGTTCAAAAGAGACAATCCTAATAATATCTCATATGTTCTGATTTACATGAACCCAGTGGTTCTATTTTTACATCTATGGATGCAAGAGGTCCTCAAAGTAATGGTTTGGTGTGGCGCATGGGACAAATAGTTTGTACAGAAGGTTTTTGTATTGTGCAAACTCTTCAAAGAAACAGGGGGAAGTAAAATACGATTTCAGGTGAAAATTTAACCCTGTGCACACAGTCCACTACGGTAGATTTCTGAGAAACATCTCAAGCAGTTGGGCAAGTAAGCATAGATATTCGGGATGGTCAGCGAATGAAAAAGGTAAAAGGATATGAGTTAAAGATGACGTTAAGTTTGCTATAAATTGGTTACTGGAGTGACACTCAGGGGAGAAGGAAAAACCTACACACTACCAGCTAATGAAGGTTGACTTGGTTTAGTTTCCAAACTAAACTTTGGTTTTGGTTTATCTTCAGTTTTTGGTTTTTCTTCTTCTAATCGGTTTTCTTCGTCACTTTTCGGTTTCTCTGACTTTACTTCACTTGCAGAACAGTTGTGTCGTCAACATCTTCATAAATATCATATGCCATTTGTTTTTGTTTTCCTTCAACTTTTTGTGTTTGTTGTAAAGTTTAGAATATTTCGACTCTAAGTCAATGAGATGTTCTATAATGAACTGTTGGTCAGTGAAGTAACTTTCCATCTGTTGTCTCGAAAGCTCCTTCAGACTTCAATATTTTATTTGTGAGAGTCTGTTTTCTTTTTTGAGATACTTGCCGTTCCATTTCTATGAAAAGTGACTTTGTAGTTAGGGTTTGTATTTCCAGACCTGGCACTTTCTATTATTGAATTTTTCTCTTCATCTGTAAGTTCTTTGACGGGTTTTGACAATGGTTCTGAACTTTTTGTTTGTGGTGTCAAATCTACCGTTTCAACTTCTTCGGTCATTTCATCTCAGTAAAAATTTTAGTTTGGTTTGTTTTCAACTGGTTGTTTAGGTTTTTTAAGTCGGTCTAAAACTTCCTGAGGTATAGGAAGAACTTGACAAACACGTGGTGTAACTGCTGGAAGCCGACAAATCCATCTTGAACTTATTTGTCTCAATGCTGCATTGTTCATTTCATCTCAATAAAAAAACTTTACATTCCCCACGTTTGAGGCGGTTGAGGTTGGTTATTGTTTACCCACTGTTGTGCATGGTTATATCCTCTGTTAAAGAATCTTTCACCTTGGTCCATATAGTGTCCTGCTTGGTTATAGTAGTCATTTGCTTTGTTATAATAGTTTCCTGCTTGTCTTCCTACATTGTCCATCCATCCTTGAACTTTTCCTCTTGTTTCAGGATTTGGAATAAGATTTGTTGCATCTCGTGCTACATCCCAACCTTTCTGTACAGTTTGTATAATAGGTTGTGCTTTCTCTTTAAGTATACCTAATGTACTCAAAATCTTCCTTCCAACTCCAAATACACCTCTGGCTATTGTTCCCACTGCGGGCAAAAATCTGGATGCAACTCCTGCTAATGCGCCAAATAAACCCATTTCTTATAGGATAAAAATGACGAATCCAAACAAGGACCCCTATGTTTCTAAAGCGACAAAGAAAGCACTCATGGTAAAAATCTTTAGTTCAACACCAAATGCTTGGTTTATGGATATCTTGGAAAACATTCCGAGAGTTAGAACAGATGGACCACCATACTGGCTAATATTTGTCGGTCAAACACAAGATACTGTGAAGCCATACCATTATGGTCCAAAAATATTTTAGATGTGAAAACTGCTTTGACAATATTCGTTGACAAATACCATCCAACAAAACTGACATCTGACTGTGAAAGTTCTTTCAAATCAGATGATGTAAAAAACTATCTGCGTTCAAAAAATGTAAACCAATATTTCATTGTCGACCCAAAACCATTCTGCTCTTGGTGTCATTGACGGTTGTATAAAAATGTTAAGAGACTTAAACCAACCACAAGGTGGTGAAGCAAATGAAATGTCATATGACGACAAATATAGACACTTCTCCATGGCAAAGATGAGACAAGTTTTAAATATTTACAATAGCCGTAAACAAAAAGGTTTGGGAAACCACTCCCCCGAAGAAATGAAAAACAACCCTGACTTAGAGAAAGACTATATATTTAATAATTTAGTCAAAAGAGACAAACAAGAAAGAATGCTGGGCTTCAAACTTCAGAAAGGTGACAAAGTAAAAATAGAAATACCTAAACGCGACCCATATGAAAAATACTATTGACTATGACAACAATGGGAACCCGACAGGTACTCACATTCGTGTTCGTAAAATAGAAAGAAAGTATACAAGAGAATATTATGAAGTTTTAGGCAAACATGGCAAAATGTACACACTGCAAGCAGAAGATAAAACTACTATTGTCAGACCTCGTTTCAAACTTGTCAAAGTTCAAGGTGGTATACTTTCAAAGACAGTTCCTAACAAATATAAGACAACTCCTGACGAATATGCTAAAGAAGTTGAAAATGACGACTAAGCATTTCTATACCATGCGTAAACTGTCATGTAAGGTGGCATGTAGTCTTTACTTTGTCCCGTTGTTTGCGTATATCCTGAAACGCGATGTGTATGGTCTCCTTCTCCCCAAGTGTCATCCCAGTAACCATTTATAGCAAACTTAACGTCGTCTTTAACATCATATCCTTTACCTTTTGTCATTGCTGACCAACCCCAATATTTATGCCTATGCAAACCTGCTTGAGATGTACTTAAATTTATGTAGTGACTGTGTGCAGGTAAATTTGCACCTGAAATCGTTTTACTTCCACCTGTTTCCTTTGAAGAGTTTGCACAATACAAAAACCGGTCGACTATTTGAGTCCAAGTTCCAAAACCCAGAACTGTTTCTGGATTTGTTGAGTTCATTGACGTATAAATAGAGCCTATAGGATATAATGTTTGAAGTATTTCTGTCTTTAATGTTTGAAGCTCTGTTTTGTCTGCTTTCTTGTCTAACATTGCGGGTAGTTCATATGCTTCAAAGTTTCTGGCATGATCTTCGATATTCCTGCAACTCTTATCTAAATTGTTAAGAGTATCTTTTACGCTTGTACTCGGATTCTCTAAAGGTGCACTTGAACCAAGGTCAAAGTTCAGTATTATGTCGTCTGCTCTAACAGTTGTAAAACTTGTATGTGTATGGTTCTTATTTGCTTTCTTCTCTAACTCATCGTTAACATAAGTTTTATCTGCTTTAAGGTCTAAACATCCTGAAACCCATCCTGTATCAGCTTTAGTTTTTAAAATCTTCGATGTCCATTCATGATACCATTCAGCCCTTTCTATAATTTCATTATCTTTTTCATCCACATATTCCTTATCTGCTTTCTTCTCTAACCTACTAGCCACACAATCCTTATCCGCTTTCTTTTCAAGGCTAACGTTTAAGTCTGTTATTTCAGATATAGAATGTGTATGAGTCTTTTTAGAATATTCGTTTTCAGCTCTTGTCACTTCACTTGACATTTTATTGTCAACATATGTTTTGTCTGCTAGTTCAGGATGAGTATGTTCTTTTGTTGCATAAGCATTGTTAGCTCTTTCTTCTTCTTTTGCTATTGCATCGTCTACATATTCTTTGTCAGCTTTGTTGTCAACATCTGCTTTCAAAAGAAGTTCATTTATAGGTTTCTCGTTTAAAGTTCCTTTTGTTGGATTTATACAGACAGTATTGTTCTTCTTGTCTTGAAATAGAAACTCATCTGTTAAAGGGTTTAATGTCAGTTTTAAGTTTCCTTCTTTCAATGACTCAGATATCTTAGAATAGTTTGAAAAGTTTGTTGTGTTCTTATTTAGAGCTTGCATAATGAGTTGTCGGTTGTGTTGTATTTCTCTCATGGAAGCAATATCTTTCGACATTTTTATTCTAGATAAAATATGCTTCCAATAGAAAAAGAAAATTCAAGAGTTGCTACAACTAAACCATTAGATGAACTTTTTACTAATGTCGGTCAAAAGTTTGAGACAGAGACCGTAAAGCATGAAGGCTATCGTTTTGACTACCCATTAAGATGGCTAAGAGACCCATCTGTCACAAAAGCTATTGGCTTTCGTAGAATGAAGTTTGTGTCTGTAGAAGATAAAAGTTTTCCATTTATTGTAAGGTTTCATATAGATTATATATCTGAAGGGAAACGAAAAATGTGGGAAGAAATTGAGCTAATACAAGTTGACCTTTCATCTTCTCTACAGACTGCGTTAAAAAATATAGAAGATAAAATAAATTCATGTTATGCAAAATATGCTGATGAATATGCAAATACCGAGAGCACACTTTATGTGAGAATTGTATATGACAAACAAAATTCACAAGTGTCATTTCAAATCTACGAAAACAATCCAAATAAAGACGAACAAATATATACAGAATTCACTGCAATGTCATGGTATTATTTGCAAAGAATGTTAAATCAGAAAGTCGAACTTCCTTTAGCAAATATTTACAGTCGATATGCAAGAGATGAACCATATTTATTTAAAGATGTTTTCGACCAAGATGCTATTATTGTTCATGCTTCATTTTCTGGCGCCCAAAACTCTTTCTTATGCTTGGCAAATGACTTTTACGAAAAACCTACAAAGTTATACGAACCACCAAGTGGAAGTATTTCAGACTTTCAAGTATGGTTTACTACAGATGGAAGAAAAAGAATAATTCCATTATACCATGCGTTTTACTTAGAACTTAGTTTCATATACAACTACTATCGAACGGTAAAAATATAATTTTTTAATACGGTTGAGGTGTTGGATTTGGTTGCCAACTAGACTGTGGTGCAGGTTCAGGCTGTTGTATAACAGGAGCTTGTTCTTCTGGTTCAGGGTCTTTAGGTATAATACCAACAAACTGACCTACTCTTTTACCAATATTTTTTGACACCGTTCCAAATTCCTCTTCCTACGGTTTTTATTCCATTCCATATACCTCTTCCAACATTTCGAAAGAAGTTTCCTATCTTACTGAAGAAACCCATTTTACTATATGTAAAAATCTAATGTCCGCCTAGTCTCTTACGTTTCCTGTTGAGTTCCATAGCATTCTTTAACTGGAGCTCATACATTCTGTTTCTCCTCTGGTAGAAAACATATTCTGGGTCAACTCCTGTGTTCGCGTCATCTGCATAAAGTTGTTTATATCCCACTTCAGGGTTTGTATAAAACTCTTTCCATCTCATATTTGCATACCATGGTGGCAAACCTAACGCAGCGTCATTTGACATGGCAGTTTGCATTTGTACATCTGTTGGCACTTGACCATAGTTTGCCATTGCAGTTTGTATTCTAACTTCATTTGGAATATTCTCTGGGTTTGGTTGTCCAGGTTGCTGTGCATTCGCTAAGTTCTGTGCGTCCATTTAATATTAGATAAAAATATCTCTTACGAGTACATATACTGGACATTTGCAGGCATTGGTTCATCTTCATATTCTCTGTACTTTTCTGCCACGTCAAAGAAATAAATGACACAATGGAAAAAACCCTAAAACAAGTAGTCCTATTTCAAACCACATTTACTTACTAATAAAATTTCTTTGTTATGACACTTTCTCCGGTTTATAGGACCTCTCTCATATTCTATCTTGTCATATATAAACTCATAGTCGTTTATATCTTCTAGCCATCTCATAACGGTTTCCAAACCACTTTTATCGGATGTAAAGTAAAAGCATGGATGGTTATGTAAAACGTCTAAAGTTTCTAAAGAGTCTCTCAAAGTCCAGTCTACTTGGTATTGAAAATCCCATGTGTTATAGAACGGTGGGTCCACTATAAAGAAAACATTTTCCTTGTCTTTATATTTTTCATACAAATCTGTCCAATGACATCTCACAAACTCTATACCCTCAATATATTTTTCTATGTCCTCTTTGAAAACATTTGTATAGTTAAGATATAAAACTTTTGACATAAGTGTTTCAATGTCATGAACTCTTATAGCACCACTATATAATAGTCTAGCAGATATACTATCCCAGTCTATATATTCTGCTTTTTTCAAAACCTCTCTCACAATATTTTCTTATCTAATGGTATACGTTCCATCTTACCTATAGTATCTTTTCTTTTAACGCTTTCAATATATTGTTTGTGTCTGGTATATGTTTGAGACGGTCCATATAGTTGTCGAAGTCATTGCATATAATCTTTGAGTCTGGGAATATTGTATGGCACAAATGGGATATATAGAAACTTCCACCGAACAAATCTACAAATGTTAGACCATTCGGTAGTTTCTTAAGTTCTCTCAATATAATATCTTTACATCTACTCTTATTTCCAAAGAACGGTAACGGAGGTTTTGTAAAATTCATTTATATATAATAATAAAAATGTTTTTACCCGAAAAGTGACAGAAAAGTGACAAAGCATGAAAACATATATAATTTGTGAAAAGTGAAACATTATATAATGTTTTCGACCCAGAAGAAGGCTTCTTCCCAGAAGCAATGGAGGAAGAAGAAGAGTCCTCCGAATTCACACCAGAAGACTAACAATTTTCCGAATAAAAACTTCATTTATACTAAACATCTTCGGGGCTAGAGGGCACGAAGTGCCTGGAAGCCCCACTACCTTTTTTTTTTAAATTGGATCAAAAAAATCGAATCTCAAGTTAAAAATAAAAAATTTCTACATTTTTATCAAATTTAGATTTTTTTTTTCAAATCATGCGAATTGATTGAATAATTGCATATTTTATCCCATGCATCTAGAAGTATGTGTAATATTTTTGCTTTCATCAAGAAATTGTCGAATTTGATCTTAATTTTTTTTGAAAAATATACTTTTAGAAAAAGAAATAGTGATTGAATAGCTGCCCATGCTGTAAAAGGGTTATTTTTACAAGTAAAAAATTGTTATTTTTCGAGCAAGTCGAGGCTTTTTTACCATCTTATTTTTGAAAAATTTACGAAAAATTATATCTGAAAAAACGCTTCATTTTGATATCTTACAATGATAAAATACCAATGTTGCTGCTGGATATAATAGCTACACCTGGACATCTACTACATTAATGCGTATGACAGGTAAAGTTGATTTCAAAAGTATAGTCTGGAAAGATTACAATAAATCAACGATAATTCAAAAAAATTTCTTATAAGTTAACATAATAAAAATTTAATTTTTATATTGCTTGTATTATACTTAAGTATATAATATATTTAAATCTTAGAATGAAAATTCGGGACGCCCTAGCTATTCAATTTTCCCTTAGGACGCCCATAAACCTCTCAAAAATGTGATGTAAATATCACAATTTTGAGAAATTTACACTAGGACGCCTTAGGACGCCAACCCCCTTTTTTACCGATTATATCCCTTTTTCAATTTCTAATTTAATAAGTAAACATTATAAATATAATTTGTATTATAATAATATTTCATAGTGTTGTAAACAGAAATTCATCAAAAGTGACACCTCAGAAAAGCTAAAATATTGAATTTTTGGAACTTTTGATAGAGCACGTTTTTAAATATTAATTAAAGTAAATGTATATTTTGTAAAGATTCTTTTTAATAAAAAATAAAATTTTGAAGAAGAACACAAAATCTTCTGAAAAATAATATCACATAAACTCATATTATTTTCTAATATATAACTATTTTATATAAAAATCAAATTCAATGATCTTAAAAGCGAAGGATAAACCACAAAATTTACGAATATAATGAGTGGGAATATAATGCTTATCTATCATAAAACCATATGAATATCAATTTTTGCTTTACGCCTAATTTTTGACGACAATTAGCAAAAAATGTTAAATGCTAACACTCAGTCCATTTGAATATGAAAAATAAAATTGATATTTCATATGGTTTTATGATAGATAAGCATTATATTCCCACTCATTATATTCGTAAATTTTGAGGTTTATCCTTCGCTTTTAAGATCATTGAATTTGATTTTTATATAAAATAGTTATATATTAGAAAATAATATGAGTTTATGTGATATTATTTTTCAGAAGATTTCATTCTATATGCCTATGAAAAGTACTCTCAAAACTAACTTTTTCCTAATTATAATTAAATCTAGAATATTGTATTATGCTTAGTATTATTTCATTTTTCTCATTCAATTTAGAATTTACAAATGTCAAAAAATTGAGAGCTGTCACTTTTAATGAATTTCTGTTTATTACAATAGGTATCAATAAATACATCTTCGGTCAAATTCCTTAAATAATAAATACAGTGATGATATTAATATTCTTCACAATATATTGCATCCTCTCTTATAAAATCAATAAATCTTTATTCTCTTTTTTCAATAAAGTAATTTCGGCCAAAATATTAACTCTTTTAGTTAAAAAAATTGAGAGATTATCAGAAATTGGCAGGTACACGCATCATTTCTATTGTACCCATTCATCAAGAATGTAACAAAATCAATATTGTGCGAAATTCTTGCATATTCCATGCATTTAAAACTTGGTTCTCGGTATTTCAAACATTCATTCATAATTTCTGGATTTCAACCTAAAAATGAAAAATTTAGACATGTTCGTGTTAATAACTAAGTTTATATCATTTTGGTATATTTAATTGTTATTAAATAATAGCATGCAACAAAATGAATTTCCCCTTCATTAAATATTTTTGATATAATGATTTTCAATATGCTAGCAATGATATTGAAGTTATATAAGGATCAGTGGGGAAAGGTTATGGCCTCTGGTTTATAAGGTGCGGAGTAGTAGGATAGGATGGGCTTTGTGACTTTTTTTGTAAACGTAAGAATTCTCACAAATATTGAACGATTTTGTATCATATATGGAATCATAAGAATTCTCACAAATATTGAACGATTTTGTATCATTTAAAATTAACATTATTTTTAAAATAATTTATTTTTT